ACGCGCAACACCCCACCATTTCCACCCGCCCCGCCACTGCTGGAAAAATTCCTAGAGGAAACACTGTCTTCCTGTATTATTTTCCCAGAAATAGTTCTTGCACACCCCCACTACACTACACCTTCCCTGATGGAACATTTCTCTTATTTTCAAATCCAGAACTTGACAAGTATGTTGAGAATAGACAAGCTAGAGATGTTTGGCATTTATGGTGTCGTGTTTACCATGGCGGAGTCTCAGATGAAACAAAGGAAACCTTTATCTGATGAAGATAAGAAGAGAAAAAGAGCGTCTGACTGAAAGTCAACATAGGGAAGCAGGAGCTCAGAGACAAAGGATTCAAACGGGATGCAGACCTCACGATCATGCTGTTGCACTGCAACTTATCAGGGCGACAGTGGCAGAAGAGTTAGGTGCCCGCCCCGTAACCAGAGGGTTGCAGGTTTGAGCCCCTTCTGATGTGTTCTTGGGAAAGACACTTAACCTGCCCACCTTGCCTGGTGGTCAAAGGGACTGGTGGCACCAGTATATCGCAGCCTCGCCCCAGAGCAGATGTGGCCACATTGTAGCTCATCACCACCAGTGTGTGTGTGTGTGTGTGCGCGTGCGTGCGTGCATGCGTGTGTGTGTGTGTGTGTGTGTGTGTGTGTGTGTGTGTGTGTGTGTGTGTGTGTGTGTGTGTGTGTGTGTGTGTGCATTTTATATTTGGTCAGCTGGTCTGAAAGCACGAATGTGCAGCGAAGAGGAGGGGAAAAACATTTGTTTTCAATTGTCCGTAATTGAAAGCGGAAACATAGGGGGTGTCACAAAATATTTAACCCCAAATTGTGAGCAATGTCAAGTCAATTTAAGGATATTTCTCTATGTCAAGGCACCTGGCCTTGCTTTCGAGGACACTGCCCTTCCTTGGTCAAAGAAAACGGTTAAATGGAACAGACTTGCATCACATGCCTTGCTTTTATGTGTGTTATATGTTTTTAGCTTTATATTTTACTCCTATGCTGTCTTTGTTGTTGTGTGTGAGTCTTTCCCTCTCCTGTTCGGCACTTTGGTTAGCTGCCACGCTATTTTTAAATGTGCTGTATAAATATACTGGTGCGGTTTGGTACGGTACGTGACAGCGGCTTCCACGGCGGTCACGTCACGTCACGTGACTCAGGAGATAACGTTACATTTTATACGTATAAGTTTCAATATAAATATATAACCAGTGTTTTTAAATTGTGTATTGATTTGTTAAATTAAATAAATAAGCGAGTTACTACCCGCTAGCCACCGAAGCTGCAACTAATAAGTAACTAACCAACCATAGATAACATATTTGGATCTAAAAATAAACATTCCTTTGAATTCCCTCGTCTGAGGAATAACAATAACTTTGGTACAAAGTAGCATTGTTTTTATGATACTATAACATCAGTTTACTATAAAAGAGCATTTAGCAAAGAGCTACTCACTCAAAAACATCGAAGTAGTTAGATCTGAAGAATTTTTCAATGAGACAAAAAAATAAGTTTTTGAATGCAACGGTAGTGTTGATAAATCAGAGCAATATGTCAAATTAAATATCCTTTGATAAATCTCTGAGTCGTTGTTTGTCAGCTTTTGTTTGCATCACCGCTGACGGACCATTGATTCAGCCCGTCCGTCTCACATGTCTTCTTGCCTTTTCTTACCAAGAAAAATGTCAATACCGCCCCCGCATTAAAGCTGACATTTTCTGTGCTATTCACTTTCAGCTGTGATTAGGTTATATAACACCAGAAACTGAAATCTCAAGGAAATGATGTAGCGGTCAAAAGGGAGGGAAGTTAGAAGAAAAGATGCCCGCTGTGTTCGGCTGCTGAGCCAATAAACCGAGGAACTGACTGCAACATCCTTTCTTCGATTCCAGCTGGGAATCTTTATGTCACATCCTCCTCCCTCATTTTTCACGGCTGTCATCTGTCCAACGGAATCTTATAATGGACAATTTCCTATTTTATTTTCAAAGTAAAACTGATTTATGACTACAGCCGAGGCAAATGTCATTTTTAAAGAAATACTGAAACCTCTGTATTAGATCTATTTCTATTTCTCTATCCTACTTTACTGCTCAGCTGGGATTAAAATGTGAATTTTTACATTTCTTACCAGAGTGTCCAGCAGTTTTAGTTTCATTAACCATTGTACCGGTGCTCTGTGGTGCATTTCTCTAAATATAGTTTTCTGCTTAGTTCAAAAACATTTGTGCTGGGGGGGAACAGCTCATCGGGTGTTACCCAGAGATCTCATTCAATCACAATGAATGAGGTAAAATATGCTGCCACCTAGCATCTGGAGTTTGAATAGCACCCAACGAAAGAAATACAATGTTTGCAAGTAAATTCTCAGTATTGAACATGATACACTACTTTTATGGTAAAAGGCCTGTATTTGTGTGGCACCTTCAAGGGTTCCACAACCCCCCAGTCCTTCACAACACAATCAGTCATTCACACATTCACATGATGGTGGGGATGAGCTATGGTGTAGCCACAGCTGCTCTGGGGCACACTTACAGAGGTGAGGCTGCCAAACACTGGCGCCACTGGTCCCTTGCCCAAGGACACAAAAGCAGAATTTCCTTCTTCTTGGAACCGGAATAGATCCTACAACCTTCTGATGACTTCTGTTCAACCCACTCTACCCACTGAGCTACTGCTGCCTTTTAGATACAGATTTGGGATCATAACACAAAATATCACGATATGTGAGCACATCGATATTTTCATACATCCCTTTGTGCTACAAATATTGACGTCTGGGTGTGATGACAATCAAATTCCTGAAATGACTTCATATCTCTCCTTTTCCCTAACTATGCTGTTGTTCTTGCATCCGTTCTGTTCTTCTGCTGAACCGAAACATTAATTTACAATCTACCAATGTTGCACTTTTTGAACTTTTTGGATAATAAGGCTGCTTTATTCTTCCCTGGCTGCACATTGCCTTTTCCTTTCACTTGCAGCTTCCTCTCCCTCTGTATTCCAGCTTTGCCAGGAGGGTTCCAGTTTAGATAACGTTTACAGACAGAAACTCAGAATAAGTGCATCAGCTGTTTTCAAATCTGCCCATTAATTAATTAATTACATTGTAAATGCTATTCATTTCAGAACTGCTAACTGCGAATAATAGAATAGAATAGAGTAGAATAGAATAGAATAGAATAAAAATCCCTTTATTGTGAATGAGAATAGTGTCACAGCAGTGATTGTGTTCATAGTAAGAATGAATAAAAGAAAACAAAATGCAGAAATAAAGAATCTAAATAAAGCGTAGCATTCCTTGATGTAATCCAGATTCCCATTCACTTTTTGTGCCAAATTGATCCTTGTGTGTAGAAATGGAAATATTTGAATAATCTTTCTCATATTATTACAAGATCTTGAAAAGCCTAACATTCAGAGTCTGAACATTTCTGCTACTAGACATTTTAGCTCCAGAGCCTTCAAATTTACTGAGATGTAGCCCATTCTATGAGGATTAACAGTGGCAGCCATTGGGCCGACTTCAGACGTACATCCAGTTATAAACATCAGAGTTTTATTCTACTCTGTCCAGTGGTTTGTACGGTATTTTGGTAACAGATAAACAAGACTGAATTCAAAGATTACTGGCAAATATTTAGGTAAAGGAGTGCAGAGATGAAAACATGCAGCACCACATTTTGCCTAATGTCTGTAACACTGAGTTACAGCATGTTTGTGCTTGCTAATGGTGCTGGGGAAGCTAGACGCAGTTCATGATCAGTGATTACTATTGAGTTTCTTTGAAATCCAGTCAGTGGCTCATGTGATATTTTGTAAGCGCGCACACACACACACACACACACACACACACACACACACACACACACACACACACACACACACACTGATCAGCAGTCAGTGATAACAAGAAGCTCATAGTCTCGTACACAGTGGCCTATGGTAGACTGTCCTCCGTGGGACTGGGAGATTGGGGGTCTAAACCCGGTCGGGTCATATAAGACTTTCAAAAAAGTGATGGGGGGGACCACCAAATAGCTGCTGAGCACATCCATGACTGCAGCTCATCGCTCCCCACGGGGATGGGTCAGATGCAGAGATGTGATTTCACCAGTGTGTGATGATGTCTAATGGGGCCTGAACTTTACAACATAATCGTGGATTTGACTTGTCACAAATGTATAAAAACAAAGAACTGAACTGATCTGCGGCTGTTCTGACATCAGTGATGCAGAAACAGAATGGGAGGATACAGATGTCCTGAAACAAAGATGTTTCCACAGGCCGGGCTCAGCCTTCATCTGTGGAGTGTTTCTATCAGGAAGCTCTGACTCTGACATTTAGAAAGACACTATGAGGAAGATCAGCAGCATGCAACAGATCCATTCTCCTCGTCATCAGCCTGACCCCTCCTCCTCCCCCTACTCGGTCCTCGTTAAATCTTAATGTGTGGCACGGAATTGGCCTGTTCTGTTCACACCACACAACCTAGATCCGGTTTAAAACCACGACATGTCCGTGGAAACGGGCTCAGACGGATAGCTGTCTAACAAAATTATCACCAGCATTCACGTGTTCATCCTTCACGTTCAGGCTGAACTGATGCAGCATATTGGAGGGCACGACCGTCCGACTGACAGCTCTTTGGGCCTACATGTTGGATGGCTCCAGCGCGGAGAGCGTGCTCCGATCAGAAACATCAGTGACACACAAAAGCCGAGATTCAAATCTACATGTTTAAATACGGCGCTGCTCCGCGGCTTCAAAATGCAAATATCCTTCAGCCAAATCAGCTCTGGACTCGCTGTCTCTGAGCAATCACCGAATGGTTTTGTTGGACGCGCACAGCCTGTGATTTCTCCCGGCGTGTCGCTTACGAAACGCGCACATTAGAAATAAAGGCGAGCGGACGCTTTCGCGTATTCCAGGTGTTATTACTTCTGTGATGAAGAGCTGGAGGACCTGGTGTAAAATTCAGGGAAATAAATGTACCTTCATCGATGTCAGTTCGTCTCCTTCGGCTCTGTAGACGGCATCTTGTCGCCTCCATTCAAGCCCAGCAGCCTCTCTCAGCATCCTGCGCTGTCATTGGGCAGCGGAGCGCTCCCTCTCCTCCTCCGCACGGACCGGAGCAGCATCACCACTACAGCAAGTGGCAGCTGACAGGAGGGGATGGGCGGATCAGCGCAGCCTGCTCTGAGTTTCACATCATCTCGGTGCTGAATGGGAATCCTTAATGCCCACTCACGCACAAGATGTTTGCGTTTTGCTTTCATCCCCGCTTGTGTTCAGTTTAGCACGTGACTTGAACAGGTGTTCAAACGGTGTTTTAAAGTCCACATTCTTCAGAGGACTTAAGCACATGCAGAAATAAGAAGTGCACTAACCCATACAGTCTTTCTCCCTATACAATGTCAAGTAACAGAGGTCCAAGGAAGCCTAGACATCCTTTGCCCCAGTAGCTCTCCGGGTTCTCCTAGGGAAGCTGTTCCCAGGCCAGAGAGGACATCTGATCTGTGTTTGCAGACCCAGAACACAGTGAGGAATTCCTGGAAACCTTCCACTGTGAGGCAACCAGGAGGCATCCTCAGATGCTTACACCATATAATGCTGAGAAGCAGTGACTGTGTTTGACGCGGAGTCCAGACGGACTTAGGAGCTTTTTCAGCTGCATGAGATGTGGGGTTTGGAATTTTGATGGATCAGTAAATCAGGAGCTTTGCATTTTATTTCAGCAGCTTGTTTTCTAAAACAGACTGGAGCTATACCTTCAGTACATAAATCCATTGGTCCATCTCTCACTTCAGTCAGCCACCACTCATGAACCATCGGGGTCTTGTTCAGGAGTGAGGGAAGGATGGAGTGTGAGATCGACGGATGGATTGGTGTGGCATGCAGTGATGCGGGCATTGCACCGATCTGTCGTGGTGAAGAGAGAGCTGAGCCAGGCAAAGCTCTTGATTTACCAGTCAATCTGCGTTACTACCCTCATCTATGGTCACGAGCTTTGAGTAGTGACCGAAAGAATGAGATCACGGATACAAGTGGCCAACATGAATTTTCTCCGCATGGTGGCTGGACTCTTCCTTGGAGATAGAGTGAGAAGCTCGGTCATCCGGGAGGGGCTCGGAGTAGACTAGCAGTTGTACAAACTAGTAGTTAAATCAAAAAATGCTATGAACCACTTTAATAAATGACCAAAACATTACAAAAGCAATGAGTGATGCCATAAAACACAAGAGTATGTAATGTTGCATTATGCAATAAAAACTCTACACGTAGAATACAAATGACGCATTTCATTGGTTAAAAAAACTTTCATAAAGAAAATAAAATAAACTATAAATGTTGAGTTTTAAAAAATCACCAGTTGGTCAATTTATTAGGAAATCATTTGAGTTTTTACTTTCTGAATTTATGCAATCTATGTCTTCTAATGGAAGATGAGTCCAGCCACTCTGCAGAGGATGTTTATTTCAGCTTCTCATGTTTGTGACTTCATTTTCCAATCCCGAGGTGAGCGATGGGATGTAGATTAACTGGTCTTCGCCGGGAGGAGTCTATTCTATCCACGCTCACAAGTAAAAGACTGAGATACTTGAAGTCCTGGAGCAGTGACTCAGTCCTAAGATGAAGTTGGCAAACTACACGTTTCCTGTTCAGAACCATGGTCTCAGACTTGGTAGGTGTTGATCCTCATCCCAGCTGCTTCACACTCAGTTAAACCGTTCCAGTTCCTGTTGGAGGTCCTGACTGAACAAGGCCAATACGAAGTAAATATTAAAGTCCCACTAGTTGTCACACACACTGATGTGTGTGAAATTTGTCCTCTGCATTTGTCCCATCCATGTAGGGAGCAGTGAGCTGCAGCATTGGCTGCACTCGCAAACCATTTGGTGGCTTAACCCCCCAATCCAATCCCTTAGAGCTGAGCGTCAAGCATTGGGTACCATTTTTAAAGTCTTTGGTATCGGTGGAGTTCAGAACTTCTTACCAGCAACATGAACCTGACTTCCACTTCAGTACCTGTTTTGATTTTCTTGGTGAGGCAGCAACATTAACTCAAACCCTTGAAGGCCAGATGAAGGATTGTTTCACAGTTAAATGCTTGTATCCTGACAGAACTGCACTCAAAGGCAAACCGACAGAGACGCTGAGTGATAGGTGAAGCTGGAAAACCAGAGCTTCCTGTCTTCTTCTGGACACATTATCTTCTCTACTGCAACCGCCTCCTTGCTAAGCTGTCTGTGATGCTGTTTAAACACAACAGACCCATTTTGTTACCATCTTGAACACGTGATATTCTTTCTCCTCGTTCACCTCATTAATGTCTGATTTATTCATTGTATAAATAACATAATAACAGAAAGATCTAAATCATGTCGCTGCAGTATCTTGTCTTACAACATCAGCCTTAATAACTCAGTGAATCGGGGTTCATTTTAATGCTCACTTTGTTATTCTTGTGGGTACTTTGTAACGATGACAAGCACCACATTTTTGGATACATTTTCAGTTCCTACCGTCGTCCTTCCCATCACATGCTGATGAGTCACCACCCTTTCCAGAGAGGTCACTGCTGGTGTTAACAACTGGTTAATGTTCAGCAACAGAGGCTCTTGCCAAGGCTTTCAGGAATGGAATGAATGAAAGCATCTCAATTACAACTTAATGGCATTACATTGGTGCCCTTGATATGAGGACATTGGGGTCAAGTCACCTTTAATAAAAGACAATAGTAAGAGACTATTAATCAATTTGTTGTATATAAGCACTTCCCTTCCCTGTCCTTGAGAATAATGGCTGAAAAAATGGTCTATAGTGTGATATTGGGTAAATAAGCTTCATCAGAGTATCATGGCTAGGCTCAGTGGTGGATAGACTGGTTAGAGGTGATAAAAAGGCAGCAGCAGAACACCATCTCCTAGTTTCAGCACGATGGAGCAGCAGAAAATCACATTTGGTGTCACCTGTCAGAGAACAGGAAACTGAGGCTATAAAACTGACCAGAATTGGATCATGAGATGCTAGAAAAAATGTTTCCTAGTCAGATGACTCCTGTTTCAGTAGCAACAATCATATAATCAGGTCAGAATTTGGTCTCATGAAAACTAATGGGCCATTCCCATCTGTACCGGGTCGGCCCGGGCCGGGTAGCCCCATTCGGCCCCAGCCTAGCCCGGTTGATTCCACACATCCTTGTCTTAAGCCCATGTGGGCTGATTCTACCCACCAATCAGAGGCTTGCTCTAATGGAAGGTGTGAATTTGCTGTCAGCAGTGGGTGTGTTGGCCCTGGTCGGCATGAAGCAGACCCCCTCGAGAAGAGGGCTGAGAATGAGCCTTGGTTGGCTGGAAAAATACCAGGCCACCCTGATATGTAAACAACCTACGCTACCTGGCCCGGGCCGACCCGGTACAGATGGGAATGGCCCATTAGCTTCATCCTGCCTTGCATCAACGGTTCAAGATGGTGGTGGAGTAAAGGTGTAGGTGGATGTTGTTTGGCCAGTTTGGATCCCAACTGAGCCTGATTTAAACACCACAGTCTCCCTGAGTATTGTTGGTGACCTTGTCCATCCCTTTTGGACCACAGTGAACCCATCTGCATGGTGGCACAGTTTGTAGCACTGCTGCCTTGCAGTCTCCATGAAGACTGGACCTGTTTGCATGGAGTTTGCATGTCCTCCCCCAAACATGTGTGGGTTTTCTTTTTATACTCCAGATTTTTCCTCTTTACTTAAAGAGTATTAAGTATTTTCCTCAAATGTAATCAAATCAAATCAAAATAATGGCTAAAGCCGTAGAACACAAACCTGGGAAAAAATAAAGATTTAGAGGTGTGGTTCACTCATTTCATCAATACATTTGTGGAGGTCTCCAGTAGGAATGAATGCCTCGTGAATCGTACTCTGGGGAAAATAGCTCAGATACACCTGATCTGCAATGTTGATGTTTTATCTGCACATAGAACACAAGCCTGAAGAAGCTTCTGCTGTGTGGTGGAGCTGATAATGCTAACAGTTAGCTTTTACTACCCAAAATATTCTCTGCTGTATCCTGGACTAAACCAATAACAGCGTTCCCCATTGTGAGTCAAGATGGGTGAGTCCATGAATGTTGAGTGACAGTATGATGTAGATATGTCAGGCTTTTCAAATCCTAGCATTTAACTATTTTCAATCAGAAGCTAATGCAGGAGATAGGAGAGTATTTTCATGTTCAGCCTGCATAAAGAACTCAAAGTGACAAATTATAATCAAAGAGTATCATTAAAAAAGGTTTTACACTGAATCTCACCTTTGAAATCTGACTGGGCAACACATATAAATCAAATATTCCTTTATTTTGGGGCAGATTGTGTACTATTTGTGTGATTATGCTCAAAAGAGAAGCAGAACTGGAAGCTGAGCAGTAGACAGTATGTCTGGACTCAGCTATAAATCTTTGATGGAGCAAAGATTTGGCAGTGAGTCCTTCATAACACTCTTTATGGGTCATATTACTCACCAACAACATTTTAAAGGTGTAATAACCTGTTACAGCCCTCCTGGCCTAAGAATTACCAGGAGGGGCAGCACAAGTGAGGTGGGAGCAAAATAGTGGACTGAGTATTATCTTACAAGGATTTTATCAAGAAAACGTGTCTCCGTTAATAAAAGAATAATAATCAGTCCAGCAACTACGGCTCAGCATGGAGCCAGCATCTCACACTCTCTTTCTCTCATTGGCTCCAGGCGATCCTCTCCTGGCAGCTCGGGTTTCGTCAGTGGCAGGTTGAAGGTGGTGGATAGGGAAGTCTTCCCCCTCTCTCTTTGTTACTAGGAACCAGTTTCCTTTCGTCTCCCAGTGCTCCTTCCTTCTTTTCTTTCTGCAGTTGTCTTTAACGTCTCCCTCCTGTTGTTCCTTCTTCTCTTGTCCTCCCCTGTTTCCTGCCTCCCTCTCGACTTCTTTCTTTCCCTCTCTGAAGCTCCTAGTGAACTGCAGCGGCTCCCTTTTGCAGAGGCATGAGGGGTGATTCCTGATCGGCCGCAGCTGGTGTCTGCAGGCAGGCAGGTGAGGATGAGTCTCAGCGTGCTCTGCTCTGTGGTGCTGATCAGAGGTGGAAAGTAACAAATTACATTTACTCACGTTACTGTAATTGAGTAGCTTGTTTGTATGTATTAATACTTTTTAAGTCGTTTTCAGAGGTGGAAAGAGTACTAAAATGTCCTACTTAAGTACGAGTATCATTATTTTGATATTTTTTACTCAAGTACAAGTAAATGTACTTGCCTAAATTTTTTCTCAAGTAAAAGTAAAAAGTATCGTAAATAAAATGTACTCAAAGTAAAAGTTACTTAGTTACATTTTTGTCAGCGTAAAGATGGTTACATCAGTGCAAAACCACTACACCAGTTCACAACACACTTGTGTGTCCACGCACACACACACAGACACACACACAGTTTGATGGAAGGATTTCTATCCAGTCAGTGAGAACAGGACGTGCACATTGATTGGACGAGGTTTTTCTAGGATTGTACGTTTCAATTATGATTAAAATTATTCTTTATTTTGAAAAAAAAACATGTTAATTTTTAGATGCCATCAGTATGTGAGGTGTCTCAATGTTCTCATGACAAAACTCTAACATGAGACTGTGCTCTAACCTGTCACATAACAAGCTAAATGAAAGTCAAACATTTCAGATGGACCGTATGACAGCTGCTAACATTGGCCCTGCCCTACTTTACCTCTACATTACAGTTCCTTTATCCGTGTCCATCCTAGAGCTCCTCTCTGACCTTCATGCTTATTTAGAGCAGCTGATTTTTAAAGTTAGCAGAGTTCATCCTTGGTGGTGGGTTCACTCACTCATGTAAAGATATCGGCCAGAGGCAACATTCGTTTGAACAGCATGTGTAAATGTGTATTAAAACCTTAGATGAAAAAGGTTTTTGGATTTTGACTGCTGGAATTGTAAGAAAATCTGATGTTTGTGACTGGCGCGGGAAAAACAGAAACTAACTTCCGGTCTAAGCCCTGGGCAGCTGGTGACATTTCACATGGAGCTCTGCTGAAACAGCTGCAGTAAACAACGCCTGACTCCTGTGTTTCTGCGGTAGCGTTATAGCAGAGAACAATGTGTCATCAATCAGATGTAGCTTCTGAAGCCTCTACTAGTCGGTCAGATTTGTTTTTTCTCTGGGATACGGCGATGAGAATGGATATTGGATTATCGGAGAAATTCAACCAAACCCCGCCAGCTGGATATCACTGCCAGAGGTGCAGATGTGTTTTAGACCATTGGACTCAGAAGACCCGCGACCCAATTTGGACATAGAGGAGGATTCTATTCATCTTCAGAACCAAAACTGGTACCGTTTGTTTACTTTTCTTAAATATTTATTTTCTGTGCTCCACTGGGAGTTCTAAGCTGACAAGTTTTCAGCTGGTCTTAGCTCCATCATGTGTCCCAATATAGTTCAGTAAGCAAGCATAAATCTGTGGTGTAGCTGCTTTTTAAACTTTTTTTTTCTTTAAAGCATTAAAAAGACATAAGTAGATGAGGAAGCAGGTACCTAGATATGAACTTTCAAGAATTAACTTACAACAATAACAAATGGCTGATGTGGCAGCAAGAAACCGCAAGCTAGCAAAGAACAATCTAACAGGAGCACTGGGGGAAAACATAGGGAGGGAAACAACCTCAAACGTCTTGATCTAAAGATGAAACAAGGAAACAGGGGTGTAAGACAGGAGGTGAGCATGGTGCTGAAGATCTGCAGAGCAAACATGGGTAGCTAAAACTTAAAGGGGATGGAAAGAGCCAGTGAAATAAAGAGCTGGGTTAAAATAAACATCATGTGGCATGTTAACTGTTAGAATCACAAACCTTCACATCTCAATCCTGGTGGTGAAAATGCAAAAAAAAAAAAAAAAAAAAAAAAATCAGTGTTTAGATCCAAAGATTAATCTATTGTTTACTTTGAGGGTCAGTAAGTAAGAGGTAGGCCACTGCTGGAAGCTACTGCTCCTTCTGGGAGGACAATGTTGTTTTGAACAGTCTGACATCATTGTCAAAGATAAGTGTGGATTTGTTTATTATTTAAGGGTAATTAAATACACATGGTTTTCAGTTCTGATGAAGACACCCAGTGTCAGATCTTTTATTATTAATCATTTTGAACATTACAAGTCTATTGAAGTTGGCAGCACTGTTGCCCTGAAGCAAGAAGGCAGCAGGTTCAACATTTGGCTGCAGCTTTTTCTGTGTAGAGTCAGCATGCTCTTCCCATGAATGCTTGAATTTCTCTAGGTAGACCAAAACATGCATGTCAGGCTAAAACGTGACTCAAAATTGGCCCAGGGTGTGAGGGGGTGGTTTTGTTCCCTGTGATGGACTGACAGCCTGTCCAGGATGGTCCTCATCCTTCATCTGAGGACAGTTGTAGGTAGGCTCTAGCTCCTTGAGACCCTACTGAAGAATAACCGGTTCAGTTAATGGATGGATTGGTGTGCCCACAGTTTCTGTTCCAAGCCACTTGAGGGCGGCCAAGAACTGCAGAAGTGATTAATCCAAGCAAAAACCGGCACATTCTCCTGTTTAAACCAGGAAGTTGTGTTCCAGCAAAGACTTTTTTTATTTTGGTCATGAAGCACAGTCCTGCCAGGAAAGTTCTGCACTAGATATGATCAGGTTTAGTTTGACTACTCTAAACATGAAAAATGACCAAACAGAAGGATCTGAGTGCTGTAGAAGGGTAAAACTACTTTTCAGCTCTAAAAAATTATATTTTAAATGGAAAGTTCTGATTTTTGCGTGTTTCTGTAAAAAGCTTCTGAATAATTAATATCTTACCTGTTGGAGCTCCTTGGATGACCTCAGTTTGGAGAAACAGATGTCTTCTGCCTCGACAAGTGAGTTAAAATTAGGAAAAATGCCCATTACAAAGAGTTCCGACCATCCTAAATCAACCCTAACACAAAACATCACAGTTCATGTGAATGTCACCTTTTACACCAACAAAAATAATATTATATGGTTATTTATGTGTGTGATACTGAAGCATTTCTGACATTGTGCAGAAATGTATGCCGTTGTAAAGATTGTAAAATAGTATTTGACCCCATTTTCACATTGTGACTTAACTCTAACATATATGTTTGATTTAACTTGATTGTTTATTTCAAACGTGCAAAATAAAAAATTATCTAGCTGACATTATCAGAGCTCACATCCTCAAAATGGATTAGGATGAGGTTTAATCCTACCCAACTTTATGCCACGTCATCTCTAACGCCAGTTCAAAGCGTTCCAGAGAAAGTGACGGAGTGGCTAATCCTGAACTACTCTTCAACCAAAAAGAACCAACAACAAGCTGAAAAATGTGTTGCTATTCCAACTACGGCAACAGTTCCTTTCAGAATAAAAGCTGAACCATCAAGACCCATGCTTGGGTCTCACCAGACGCCAACAAATTGCCGTGACCCAGAAGTAACTCACAGACTGGACTGATCGGCAACCGCTGCTTTTCCTACCGGCTCGGTTCCAGAGAAGGTCAAGCTGGACCTAAATATTCCTGATCTAAAGGGGACTTCCTGAAAGGTAGGTAGACCGGCAAATGGTGTCTCGTGTTTATGAACCTCCTAACCAAAGCTTAATGCGAAGACATCACCTTCAGTTCACGTCAGAACTAATCGCTTCCTCGGATTTGCTGGTTCTGATCAACATCGCACGTCATCCATTCACCGTCTCATCCACATTAGTTACACCATACATTTAGTGCTTAAAGTCAGACTAGTTTAATTTGTTGGTAATAAAATTCTTAACTTTTAAACGACTCTCTCTTTTCTG